TTCAACCGATTTCAACAAAAAAACCACTTTTTTTGGCAGGTAATGTTTCTTATTGTCTTGTACACTTTTTTCTTTATTTTTACATTCAGAATGCTTTAAAAATTCCATTTACAAAACAATTGTTTATAATAAAATTCTATTCAATCGGTAGACTCATAACGATTGAAAACAATGTTTTGTTTGAGTTTGGGTTTGACCAATTCGTTAAAAAAAAAATAATTAAGACATCATCAACCTTAAACAATAATCTTTGTCAATTTTATTTTCAGTCTTTATAATGGTCGATACTTGATCTATCTCTTACTGTTACATCCCCAAAACAACGCTGGGCTCTACTAACAGTGTATATATAAATATACTTTTTCTTGAATATATTCATATATATATAAATTAATCTGTTTTAAGAAATTATACATTATATTTTTTTAAAAAAATTAATTAAAATATAATGCTTTAAAATATCTATTTTCATGATCTTTCATTTAAAAATTTCCAAATAGCCAAAACTTGTCATTATCATTTATTCAGTTTTTTGAAACTCGTTCTGTTGAATCAAAACTCTGGTTTTTAAAAGCCATGTTTTTCAAAGAAAATATTGGCATCCTATAAATTTAAAAGGAGATCAATAAGATTGATTGTCATCAAATTTATATTTCCACTGTAAAATAATATATTTTAATATAGAATATAATATTCATTCTTTTTAAACCTCTTTATGCCTCCCAAAATGATATTTTTCATTGATAATAGTTTTCGCTTTTTGTAAACTTACAAATTAATAATTTTTTTATTAAAACCCAGATAAATATCACAAAAATATTAATAGGAAAATTTGATGAACTATTTTACTTTAAACCATTCATTGAAATTCGCAAAAAAACAAAAATAACAATTTCTTGAATATTCCAACTATCTTTCAAATTCAACAGTTCACCCAAATTGTATTAACGTTATATTCCATCACCTGAATATTGTTTTAAATATTTATGAAAAATTTGAAAAACAATCAAAATTAACCCCATTTTGCTCAAATGTTGCTGCAAGTAAAGATGTCTGCTTCCTTTGAGCTCATAAATTTCCAAAACAGGTTCGTTCTCAAAGTGCAATGAATCTATCTATAACCCTGATATATTTATTCAATGGCTGAGATCCGTGAACTGTATAACCATAAATATATATAACATGAACTATATTTTTATCATATATATATATATATATATATATATATATATATATAGTGGTGGACTCTCCCTATCGTGAACGATAAATGAGGGGGTGATTGGATGCTGTTAATTTTCGTTTTACAATTATTTATGCATGTTGTTAACCATTATCGTTGGAAAAAATCAGGAATTAAATGTATTTTTTTGTCAAACTGTAAATTCATTAATTTACCATGTTTAGTATTTGCTGCCAACGACAAAACCACACTGACAGATGAAATTTGTTAAAGCAGGATTTTGATAGAGTTTCTGCTTCAGAGCTTGACGAAGCTAATCACTGTTTAAGTTATATAATTATATAAATAAAAGTTATTTGTCAGCCTTGTTTAACGAAAGTCATAAGTCCAGTACGTGATACATGCTTGGGTAGTCGTCTTTTTCGATTCCTGACTGACTAGGCAGAAGATTTACCCGTAGTAGGCTACTGTTTCTTTCTGCGGGTGACTGGTTGCCAACCAAGGCTTACATAATCCTATTTAACCCATAGCTGGAGTAAAAACTCCCAACTTGAAATGCCTTCTTACAAATATGACAGTGACATCTGATAAAACTATATTAAAGAATAGCGTCTCAGAATTAACTATTTCAATGAACTCGGGTAAATTTTTAAAAAATGACACATTTGTATGTTTCTTCCTTAATTATTATAAAAAAGTAAATAGATTGATAAATTTTATGTCAAAACCTTATTGAGAATTTTCAACATGTGTTCTGTCTTTATCCCTTCAAATTTCAAATCTATCTTTAGCGTTGCGAAACATATTTTTAGTATTTGAACTTTTCTCCTGCAAATTTGTAACTGAATGTGTTCTTTAAAGTCAGCGAGACTATTAATCTTTTTGGCAATAAACCTTTGTTTTTATAAAAAACCACGCAAAGAAATCCATGAGTGAGGACAACAAATATGCGTTCTTTTATGTATTCATTATTAATATTATTCTGTAAGGAATGAAAATAAAATTAGAAAAAAAGAATTATAAAATCTACTATCTATATTTCTCATGTTGTCTGTCTGTGTGTCTGTCGTGGGCGTTGTTATCTCGTCCAGGCCGCATTTCTCACCCGATATCGATGCGGTTTTCAACACAAGTTTGCAAATGGCTGCCGTAAGGGCATGACGGAGCCCGATTTTTGAGTTCGGACTCAGGTTCCGAAAAAAATCGATAATCAAAAAAATCGATAATCGAAAAATATCTGCTTACAGAAGGAATGATCGCATTTCAATCAAATTTGACACCCTCTTAGAGTCTACCATTAGAAGTGTTGTCCAGAAGTTTCATGACCACGGACCCCTAAACTGCGCGGAGTATCGATAAAACCCAAAAACCGATACGCCCAGATTGCGCTTGAACCGCATGTCGGTTTTTAGCGAAAACCGACCGTATTTATGAAGAGGTCATTGGGAGTCATCATGTGAAGTTTCAACTCTGAGTACCCCCCAAACAGAGTGCAAATCGACAATCGGTCAACCCTTAAAAATGTTTTTCCGGTTGGGTGTTTCCTAAATGCAGATTAATTTAAGGTCACGCTATACGCGGGAAGAAACAGATCAATGCGTGCAGTGGCGTGAAAGAAAACATTTGACCTCAAATTCTGGAATGGGTGCAGGGCCATTGAAATTCGGCTTTTTTATCCCTGCTACCAGGTTTGAAAATATTTGAGACACAAATGACATATTCGACTTTGTCAACATTTTTGCTTTAATCGTCGCATCTTACCAAAATAAGCAAATTCTTTATTCGCGTCTTTACTGGAAAAAAAAAAAGATACGTGCTGGTGAAAATGGTTCTGCCCTCAGCATCCATTTTCCAATACAGGCTTTCAAAAAATTGGTAAATCGGCTGGTACTCCGGTATTTGGGCGGATTACATTCTAAAATTTCGGGCGTTCTTTGAATTCAAGAAAGAAATTCCCTACGCGGCCCAGTTAAAGGTGCCTTGGATAGAATGTTTTGTTCTTAACGTCGTGATTCAAAATCGATAAAAAAAACCGTAAAAAAATGCCCTCAAAAAGTCCAAATCCCACGCCTTTAAACTTTGTTCTTTCTCCCAGGCCGCATTCCAGATCCGATTTTTTAAATTTATTTTCAAAATTCATGCCTGGCCCGATTTTTTTGGGACTCAAACTTTGTAAAAAAATATTTAACACTCAGGTGATTTCGGATTTTTTTTTTTAAGATGAATGTTTTCGCCTGCATACGCGGCCCAATACATCTAAGCTTTTCCTCATTTTTTTATCTGTGCAGTTGACTTCGCGTTGTTAAACATTTTGAGCTCTTTTTTATTTGAACTTAAAATCGGATCAATGTATGGTTTCCAAAGTACCGGGTTAACAAAACAAATAAATAACAATTTGTCCCAAGTAGTATGACCAGCCTCAACATTTCAGGAAACTGGGTTGGGTGTGAAAATTATTTGTTGTTAACATTGTTTTTTCATTCGGTTTTCCAGTTACGAGTCCTTTTCTAAAGCTGATCGTTTTGTGTTCATTTTGTTTAGTTCTTTTTTTTTTCGTAACAGATTTAATGTTTAGCATAGAGCTTAGAAAAAATTGGCAGTGTGAGATAGGCAAGAAGTAAGGCATGTAGAAACATTAGCACGGCAAAGGGCACTTTTTAAAAATGCAAGGAAAGGGCAAAATATTTTTAAGTCAAGTGATATTTGCTGTATGAGTCGTACGATTTTTAGATCAAGCACAGGCAACGCCAAAATGGCCATGCTGCTAGTTATTAATAAAATTATTTTTTTCATATACAAGGTGAACAAAATAAGTTTTTTTTTCGTTTTTTTTTTAATTTTCCGATTCCACTGAGACAGATAGTTAATTCTGGGACACCCTATATATAGTGAGTTTGATCTTCTTTTGGACACCATTTTTTGCATGGCCTTTATGTTAACACAAGTTCTTTTTTAGCAAAAATAGCTAAAATGCATGAAATTGCATACCGAAAGAAGCCATTGTATGTCACCATAGTTGCTTGATTTTATTTCTTTAAAAAAGTGATAAAAATAAAAAGTGTGACGATTTTTTATAGCTATATTTTTTTGAAGAGAACATTTGAGGGAACGATACCCGAAACTAAGTGACACTACCGACAAAGCAGGCAGATGTTCTTAAACGTGACCAATTTATGACTTTTCAACTTTGGACGAGTCTCCATTTCCAGATGACTCAGCTACAACAGCTTGTGCAAGCTGAAGCTGAATACAGGAAAAGAAAAAGAAAAGAAAAAGAAAAAAAAATTCGGAAAACTGGTTTAAGTTTCAATAAAAAATGAAACCAACTTTTATTGCTAAATACTAAGCTTACGCGGCATTTAACATTGGTTAAAATATTGTACACACATCTATCTATCTATCTACTATATATATATATATATATATATATATATATATATAAATATATATATATATATATATATATATATATAATATATATATATATATTATATATATAAATATATATATATATATATATATATATATATATATATATATATATATATATATATATATTTCTATTCATATCTAATATCTCTATATCTATCTTAATCTTTTTATCTCTTTCTCTCTCTCTCTCTCTATATATATATATATATATATATATATATATATGTCTATCTATTATCTATCTATCTATCTATATATATATATATATATATATATATATATATATATATATATTCTATTCATATCTATCTCAGTCTGTTCATTTCTGTTCGTTTCTGTCTACCTGTCTCAAATCTATCTATATTTATCTATTTATTTATCCATCAAAATGTATTCATATCTATCTATCTATCTATCTATCTATCCATCTCATTTTGTTTATTATCTATGCATTTATCTATCTCAGTCTTTTCATATCTGTTTATCTATCTATATATCTATCTTAGTCTTTTCATTGTCAATCTGTTGAGCTATCACATTCTCTTCATATCTCTATCAATTGTTCGTACTTATATCGACTGTTCATATTATCTATCTATCTATCTATCTATCTATCCTTCTCTCTCTCTCTCTCTCTCTCTCTCTCTCTCTCTCTCTCTGTATATATATATGTGTGTGTTTGTCTGTATCTGTCTGTTGGTCTACCCTGTTCATATCTATCTATCTATCTATCTATCTATCTATCTATCTATCTATCTATCTACCTTAGTCTTTTCATTGTCAGTCTGTTGAGCTATCACATTCTCTTCATATCTCTATCAATTGTTCGTACTTATATCGACTGTTCATATTATCTATCTATCTATCTATCTATCTATCTATCTATCTATCTATCTTCTCCCCCTCTCTCTCTCTCTCTCTGTATATATATATGTGTGTGTGTGTGTTTGCCTGTATCTGTCTGTTGGTCTGCCCTGTTCATATCTATCTATCTATCTATCTATCTATCTATCTATCTATCTATCTATCTATCTATCTGTCTCAGAAACGCGACACTAGTAAACTTTTTCATTTTGTCAACCAATTTCCCCAATATGTTCTTGATATATAAAAATATGTACCGTTATCTCATATGCATCATCCACTGATGTGTTTTCTGTTGGTCCACATCTGTTTCTTGTTCTTTTTAGGTATTTGCCATGCAACACCTTGTCCTCCCAGTTTTGTTACCATTATTATTATTATCTGGATGAACAAGTAAGGCTTAATGGTTATGTACAAGCAATTTGTAATAGTTAGCAGTTCGGAATGACAAATCGGCGAACCAAGTTCGAATCCAGTCGAATTCGTTATATTTACTTTCGCATAAATGGGAAAGTTATAATTCAATTTCTTCTCAACATCACCACAACTGCCACCACCGCATTCACTACAGACTTGATTGTTCACTCCGACAGCTAAATTTCTTTGGCAATGGCCCTCATTGATTTTCTGCTAGCATCAACGATGTTGAACCCGTTGTATTGAAAGCATTATGGCGTCTTTGTAATGTCAAAACGTTTACAATGTTTTTTTTGTTTTTGCTTTTCCTCTTTGATAATGTGGAAACATTTCCTTCAGAGGCTTCCAATTTAATTCGAATATTGTGTACAAAAAAACTTGACACTTTCGAAATCGCTGCGTTCCGTACATATTGCAACAACGACCGTATGTCCTCTCTCAGCATTTTATCTGCCATCGGTGATCTGAAATAAATAAAATATTTTTTTTATTAGTTTAAAAAGAATAATACAATGATTATTAAGTCTCCTCAAATACTCGCCGTACCCTGTATACAAACGTAAATTTTAGAATTGCTTTCTTAAAAAGAGTCTGGCACAGAATATACACTAGCGTGCAAAACTTTTAAGCAACCCTGGTAAATTAATTTTACCACAAAATCGAGTGTGGTCATTAGTATGATTTTCAGTACATTTTATGACCTTTTAAGACCAGAAAACAAGTTCATCAATGCTAAATGATGAATGATAGAACTAAGTGATATGCATATAACATTATGTGACTTCCATTAGTTCGACCCTCCGTCAATGACACCCTCTAAAACAGCCGTCTGAAACCAAATTTTGGGGAGAACTGCAAACAGGTAAGGGAGTACAAGGTACAGTTGGTTTTACTAGGGTACGTAGCTTAGTACAATAAATTTTCATTATTTTTTAGAAAAATTTAAAGTTTTATTATTTAACATGCAAAATACTCAAACCATTTAAAAAAAATTTAATGATTAAAATAACAAATACTTATTTAATAAAAATGCATTATTGGTTTTAGCATATCTTTTCTTTAAGTTTTTATATACAAGAATCCAATTTCCAGTTCGCCCTGCGTTTGCAAGAACTATAAACAAATCACAAGGCCAAACGCTTCAAAACGTTAGAATTTGGCTCCAGAAAGAAATATTTACGCATGGCCAGTTGTATGTTGCATGCTTAAGAGTAAGAAAGTATGAAAGTTTTCTTCCCTGTTAAAATGGATAAAAAGAAATTTTCTTAAAAATATTGTTTATTGAATTAAATGAAATTAAAGATATTATTAACCGAGAAGTAGGGTTTTTGTCAAAGTATTTTTCCAAACAAATCAGCTTATTCGAATTTCATCGATTGGTTTGCAAAATTGAACGAAACGTAGAATTTATAAATCTCGACAAAAATGTTAAAGATAACTTCAACAATACTAAATACTGTGAGGATTTCAACACGTGTCAGCGTTTTTCAAAAATTCTAGTAATGAAAAAATTCTAGTAATGAAAAATTCTAGTAATGAAAAAATTCTAGTAATGAAAATTCTAGTAATGAAAAAATTCTAGTAATGAAAAAATTCTAGTAATGAAAATTCTAGTAATGAAAAAATTCTAGTAATGAAAAAATTCTAGTAATGAAAATTCTAGTAATATTTTTTTATCATGCAAAAATACTGATCCACCAGCGAAAATTTCACCTTTCAAAAGGAATTTTTTTTTTTACAGAAAGTGATCTTTATTATTAAAGAAAGTACGGAACGTCGAAATATTGAGTAATTAGTGTTTCTGCCTTTGGTTCGAATAATTGCCTCAATTCAATTTTGTTGCACGGGGCATAGTCATGTTGAAAAAGATTTTTCCATCTTTTTTGACTGACAGAAGATGAGACCGTAGGAAACTAACATAGTTTTCGCTTCTATCAACTTTTACCAATTTTCTTCTACCATTGCTTTTGTTGCAAACCCACACTATTTTTAATCGTTTTATGGTGCATCTTGCAACGTTTCTTTCTCATTGTCTTTGTATTTCTTTTGTTTCTCTTTGTCTTGTTAAAATTTCACCTTTCAAAGTTAAAAAGGAATTCTTTTTTTTTTTTTTTTTTTTATATGTACAAAACGTCAAAGTATGGAGATAGCAATTCGTTCTGCTGCCTTTGGCTCAGATAATTGCCTATATTTAATGTGATATTGAACTGAATATCTTTGTTGCCATATTCAGGATGTTTCGACCGTTGTACGTCAGAGTTTTCCTTCTCTTAGACTAGTCATCAACCAAAAATCAAAAACGATTTTATCTTTAATATCTCAAAATTAGTTTGATATACCAGCGATCTGCGGGCCGGTACCAGGCCGCGGACCATTTGGTATCGTGCTGTTGACCATCCAGTAGCGGGCCGTGGACCATTTGGTACCGGGCGATAGACCATTTGGTAATGGGCCCTGGACCATTTGGTACTGGGCCCTGGACCATCCGATACCGGGCCGTGGACCATTTGGTACCGGGCCGCACAGGAAGAATAACAATTTTTTTCATATTTTATTGACGTTCGCTGTGTTGTTTATTGTTTTGTTATGTGTGTGACCGACACTGACACTTTCGGGGTCCGTGGAAAAATTGTTTTGCATGACACGGGTGGCCCGTGTCTCAAAAAGTTTGGGGAATGCTGTGATATATATCAGGCTGTATCATAAGTAATTTCCGTTTGGGGGAAGCCAATTGTAATGACGAATGTATCATCCTAACTATTAATCACACGTAGCAATTAAGAGTGAATTTACAGTGCAGACTTACGGTCATATCACGTTCAATCACCGAAGTTAAGCAACGTTGAGCCTGATCAGTACCTACATGGGTAACCACTTTGGAATTCCAGGTACTGTAACTTGGATGTGCAGTTAGTGCAATGGATAACTGCTGGGAATTTGAAACTCGAAGAGCCGAGTTTCAATTCCTGTCGGGTTCATTATATCGTTTTGGGCGCAAATACCTTTGGGAAAGGCATGAATCCATCTTGTCGCCCTCCAGTTATGGGTTGAATAGAAGGACTTGCATTAGGAAATCATTATTATCTCTAAAAAAAAAAAAAAGATTCTTACAACTCCAAAAATATGTTTCTAACTTTAAATAACCTGCAAATGGTTGATAAGCCGTAAAAAGCAAATCAATCAATTTGTAGTATGCTAAGATACATTAGTTTTTTGCACGGTAATGGACGCGTACACAGTGTATTAAAGGAAAAATATATTTCTTCCTCCAAGACAACGCAGGGCAGCATAAAGAAGTTATAACACTGGAACAAATTTTGGCATTTTGTTTATTCTACCCCAACTACCATATTCACCTGAACTTACATCAACAAATTATTACCTTTTAATAGTTTGAAAAAATTCACTAAATTATTACCTTTGTCATTACCTTTAACTTGCACCAACAAATTAATACTTTTAATAGTTTGGAAAAAAAATACACCAGCGTACACGGAGTATTAAAGGAAAAATATAGGTTCTCCTCCAAGACAACGCAAAGCTGCGTACAGCAAGAATAACACCGGATCAAATTTTGAAACTTGTTTCATTTATTCTGCTCCAATCGCCATATTCGACTGAATTTGCTGCAACAGATTATTACCTTTGTTCTTTTGCCTTAATCTTTTTTTAATCAATAATGTAGAGGTCGAAAATATTCTGTTGAGTGGCCACCGAGGTCACCAGATTTCACACCTTGGATTTTTTTTTCTATTGAGGAACTTTGAGAAAGAATTAAATATGAATGCAGTAACATGACAGAGGAAACTCTCTTACGCAGGGACAGAATTGAAATGTTTTGAAACATTTTGAACAGCATATATAACCATCACATAAGGAACATCTCGACGTGGTGTAATGGTGAGCAAGCTTGTCGCGCTAAAACCATTAAAACTGAGTACTGAGTTCGATCCTCACTGGGTGCCCACTACTTCCGGCTTTGTGCTACATCTAAGCTACGCTTGTAAAATCTCTATAGCCATTAAATAAGTTGTAATTTGATACGTATATATATATATATATATATATATATATATATAACGAAAATCTTGTTAATCTCTATGGATGATCCCAAGGAGGATGAAATCCTGAGAGCTCAATGTTAAGTCAGGGCGAATAATTTAATTTAAAGAAAAACAGACCACTTTATGTCTCCATTTGTAATAATTTATTTCACCAGAGAATTTTATTTTTCTCTGGATCTTCAGACTTCACTTTCAAAGGTGAAACGAAAAATGAATTTAAAATTTACACTTTTGACGGGCAGTATTAAGCTTATATAATTTGACATCGAGGTGGTGGGTAATGGTGTGAGAGACATGGTCGAGTTTATATATATATTATATATATATTGTCCATAAAGTCTCTTTACAGTTTAAAAAAATATTACAAAAAGAAATGAATAGACAAATATATGGAAATTGTTACAAAATGAGGAGTACATATTGAATTTTTTCTAATTTAATACACTTTATATATTTATTAGTTGCATATGAAGTACAAGATGTTACTTTTTCTTTCTTGCCATGTTCTCTGTTTTCATTTTACATTGTTTGGTAGTGGCAATAAGCGTTCTTTTGCTTTAGATCAGAGATGTTCCGTATCTTTGTTAAATACACGATATCTTTAACATAACCCCATAGAAAAAAGTCCAAGGTTGTGATATCTGGTGAACAAAGTGGCTAGGGAATTGGGCCATCTCTTCGAATCCAACGGTC